ACTCAAAAATTCTTCTATTGTGAGCTATTCAAACATTGTAGTTCTTGCTAATTTGAAATTGTGCTTTAGCTGCTTTTTCATACAAAATCTCACACAGCAGAAAAGAGAAGATCCTTTCTTATATAATCATGAAATTGAACTCAAAGGATGCTGTTAACTAGTTTTCACATTCTTCATTTCTTTTTTCTATCTCTTATGTGTATGTCTTATATCTGTCCAGTTAAAACAGGCAACAAATCTTAATCTACTCTACAATAGTCGTACTGAATATGGCTGACATCTATGGCAATCAAAAAGGTATTCTCTTGTGAAACTTCTTCCGTCTTACAAAGGAGAAGGAGTTTCAGTATGTACTCAAAAACCAGGCGTATACTAGTTAATTTGGACCCCCTCCCCCTGCTTACACGCTCTTAAAAAGTATCGTTATAACAGCTGCTGTTATTATCTCTATAGTTTTAAAATTCTTACCCTTATAATAAACGTGATAATATCGTTACGCTATCTTAAAGTGGTCTTTACCCGATCTGAAAAAGACTTTACGCCATCTTATGCACATCTTTTAGATACATTATATAAGATAATGAGAAAAATATAATAACTTCGTTAAAACGATGTTTTGCTTATAGTTTTGTCTCTAAGTACCTCATTAGACTTCACAACGATTGAGACAACAATTTTGCTTACCTTATCTTCCACAATCTCCTTGATAAAATAATCGTCTAGGCTGAGAGGGTGCTATTTTTCTACCTCAAATAACCTTTCAATCTCGGCGATTGCAGCACCTGACACCTAAAAATATGGGATAATGGAAAAGAATTTCAATGATATGACTTTTAGTTTGTAAAAAATGTTGTGTATTAATAATCATTGTCATAGAATCCATTTAAGTAATAAAGCTTATGAGATTGAACCAGAGATTAATATATGGTATTATTCGCCGATATGAAAACTCATTCACTTCGCAGGTTAGACAGGTGTAAAATCTCGCGGACACGACTCTTCTGCGAACGACGCTTTCGCGACCGGCTCTTTCGCGAATCGATCCTTCTTCGAAGACCTGTTTATTAGAATAGGATGTTATAAGATGGATATTTTCAACAATAAAGATTATTCCACAGGATTAGAAAAGACTAAAATAAATCGTGTCTCCGCTGTATTTATAACTTGTACGTGAAAACATTACTAAAGTTCAGGCAAGGAAAGTTTAAGAATGTATAATGACTTCCTATTGTAGTATGTAGTCAAGAAAAACAATAGTGAATAATATGGTGATTTTAAATGGACAGATCAGCAAAGCAACTAGAAATAAATAAAAGCAATTCCATCAGAAAACTACTTCTATGCATACCGAGGAGGGAGGAGAGGCAATGTAAGAGTGAGTTCGGAAGGTAGTTTCATGAGCTAGAAGAACTGTAAAACTGGTCTAAAGTCCCAAAAGAAATGAAATTAAGGTTAAGGAAATTCAAAACTTACACGCTTTTCGCGGACGCAAGGAGATGAGGGGTAAAAATTAAGATAAATACTACCGGCTTTTGAGTACAAAACTTAAAATCTTTCTTCTTTGTACAACAGATAGAATTCTACAAGAAGCCAAAAAACTAGTTTACTTTTAGGTCTTGTACAGGAGAACCGAATTTCTTTTATCTGTTTAATCGTAGAATTATTATAAATGTTGTAGGTAACCATGGTCCTTTACTGCAGGCGAAATTAAAACAAGAAAAATAAATTACGTGTTCGTAGACAGATTATCCGTTCCAGAAGTCAACGCACTCGGTTGCTTTTTGAATAACTTTTGATAGGAACTAGATAAAGACCTGCGATTTCCACCGTTTGACAGTCAAGATCCAGAAGCATATTTTCACAGACAAAATCTTGCCTGAAAACAAATCCCAAAATCGGTTTTTCAAAGGATCTCTGGAAAATCACGCTGGATTTTCAGGAGTCTATTGATCTTTTTACATGGACAGATAGCTCAGAGTATGCCCTACAAAACTAGATCTAAACAAAAGTTCTATTTTGCAAAGTTTAGACAAACCAGGCAGTTTTTTCGAAGCCTTAGGACTCCCCTTTCTTTAGGTGTGGCGCAGGAAAATGACAATCTTTTAGCCAGTCATTAAAGCACTTCACTAAACAATCAATGTAGCCCGGAGGAAGTAGTTTAATCATAAAATTAGAAATATCGTCGAATCCAGCTGATCGTTTTGGTTTAAGTTTTTTAAGGAATTTATTTATCCCTATTGAAGATGTGCCTGGCACAGACTTAGTGCACAAAGCTAGCCTGGTCATAATTATATTTGAAAAGTTCATCCATGACTCCTCTACAATCCGTAGTAACTGTCTCATTAATTGCTAACTTCGAGAGTGGGAGCGATTTAGGTCTGTAAATACGGGATAGATACGTTCAGAAGGGTGAGTCAGCTTTGCCGTAAGATTTCTGAATTGAAGTAAGAAACTCAGACCATCTATCGGATTTATAGCTAAGAATTTTATTCTTAATTTTTCTCGAAACCTTGGTAAGAACTAACATTTGTCCATTGAACGATGTAAAAATCATCTGAAAATTCACTATGATTATTTAATTAAACGGAAGGCATAGGACAGAATGTATACTCATAATATGGAAATATGGAGTCATTCCAATATCTGCAGATAAATCAATATATGCTGGAAAATATGAATGTCATTAGAACCAGCTGTCCATAACGCTTTTTCGCCGAACTGCAGTCGATTTAAGAAAAGGCTACAGAGGGAGGGAAAATTACCAAAATATTCCGGTGCACAAGTGTTATAGACAGCCGGGATATACCTAACTTTGCTCAAAATTCTTTGCTGTATCAGACTACATGGTCGGAAACTTTTCTGACCAAAAACCAAGGACTTGGTTTTCTAGCGGTCAGGTTTTCCAGAAACCCTATTATCAAGTATTGTCATAAAATGGCTATATGCACCTCATTTGATAGAAAAATCTTCGGGCTATTCGAAACAGTATTCAGATTTGTTCGGAAAATATACAATTACAAGAATGTGAAATAGGATTACTATCGTTATGTTCTTTTTAACATCCTAATATCGATTCAGTACATTTTTGACTCTAAGTATAACCTTGATAATCAGATTAAAGAACTTGAAAAATCGATTTTAGAAGCCGCTAATACTGCAATACCTCATAAAATAATAAGAGTTAGAAGTGGAGACCAGCCTTGGTTTTTGGATAAGTTGCGTACACTTCTAAAGAAAAGGAATCGAGCATATCGTAAATACGTTAAAATTAAATCTACCGTCAGTCATCATAACTATATTTTGTTAGCAGCAGAATTTGAACAAATTTGTAAAGAGTCTAAATCAGATTATATTGAGCTCATCAACAATACTCAGAGTTCAAAAAAACCATGGTGGAGTGCTATTAACTTCTCGTTAGGAAGAAAAAAATGTTCTTCTGTTCCACCTATGAAAAGGTTAACCGGAAATTGGTTAAATGAAGACTGTAAAAAAGCAGATGCTTTAAATTTGTACTTTGTGTCTATTTGTACGTTGTCGTCTTTAGATGATCAGAAATCTGTGCCCAAACTGACATTGCATGCTAAGTCGCTTTCTTCGATTACAGTGTCTCCTGGTGAATTTTGAAGTGTCTTGATGTATATTGTTGGAAAAGAGTCAGAAGACTTAATTGAGTTTATTGATAAGGCATTTAAACCAAAAGAAGATCAGCTACGAAAGAAGGGGATTCAATTTGATCATTATGGCATCATGTATAATGTTCAGATTGAAATACATCGTAATGTGAAAGATTTCCAGATAAGACAAATGGAAACAAGTCTATTTGGTGCTTATTGCCTTCTCTGCTGTTTGAAGCCAACCGAATGGAAAGATATACAAAAGATTGAATCTGGCTTTCCTATCGAAAGAACTGCTAAACGTACGCTTGAAATTTATGAACAAATGCTGAATGAATCTGGTGACATAAAGAAGTAAATAAAGAAAAATAAAGAAAAATCGAAAAGGCAAAAGAAGCAATTCTTCAAGAGTTAAAAAGAAAAATGGATCTTCGATTAGATCAAATTAAAGGTTCAAACGAAAAAACCGAAAATTCAACAACTGGCCAACAAGGAATAGAATTTTTTTCAGAAAAAAATCGACTGTCTATAAATGGATGTGTACCACATGGTCATCAAGATAATCTTAAAAAGTTATTGTACCAATTATCGGTGATTCTACGACTGGTATCTTTTACAGCCAGTGTTAACACAGCTATTTTTCAACAGAAATGCATTGATTTGGCTAACTTTATATCTACACACTTATGTAGGGTAGAATATAATTTGACTGCTCATAGCCTTATTTTTCATTTTTCTGAATTAATTTGTCGTAACAATGATGTTAGCATCCGACAACTCTCCGAAGAAGCTTTGGAAGCTTGCAATAAAGATGTTCGAAACTACCGAGAATTTCTTAGCCGAAAATGTGGTGATACTGTAAACTTAATTGATACTTTCAATCGTCCATTTGAACGATCAGATCCAATGATCGCTGAAATAATGAGAATCCGGCTAGCAATGTGAAGTCGACCGGCCAGATCACAAGCGATTGCTATTACTGAAGAAGATGCAACTGTCGAATCAATCTTAACTACTGATTGCACTGTTTTCTATAGATTGTAGATTTTTGTATAGGCTTTGGTCTGTGCTTCTTACGGACAATACTGCAGTTCATCTATTTTGTATTATATTTATTGTTGATTTGTTCATTTTCTATGACTTTTTTACCGAAAAGGTTTTTGAACAATAAACTAACAAGATACATTTGTTTTCTCGTATTGCTTGTCCTGATCACGCACCCTCTTGTGTCACATTAAGCAAACAGTCAAATTACCCGGAAGTCTTACGATTTTACATCTAAGTAGTGCAGACGTTATAATGAATATCAAATGAAAATTTCAAAATGATATACTGTTGTGGATCGAGTTATCGTCCCATCAGTAGTGGTTATGGGTTAAATAGTCGTGGTGTTTTGAAACAATTGAGCAAACTATTGTGTTGATAATTGTTTAGAAATGAGTCCAAATGCTAGACATTGGGTTCAACAAGATGTACCAGAACTTTGTTATAAGTATATGGATGAATTCTTAAATGTACGCCTTACCAAAACTTGAAAATGCATTGTGATTAGACTCATTTTGTATATTACTCATACAAAATTTTGTATAGTTTCTTTATTAGCAAAGATTCGTGCAAGAATAGCACGGCTTGTCCACGTAACGCGACACTTCAGACATTAAGTATTTTTTTAAAGCTTTGAAATAGTTGTTTATGCCATGTTGTAGAGCATACTCGAAAGTGTACAAAAATGTATTTTGTTACTCAAATACT